CGGTGGTATGAGTCCGGCCCACTCTCGGACCCAGGAGCCCTGCCGCTCCCGGAGAACTCGCTGTCACAGTCATTCTTAATGTGATTCTTCAAAGCTAATCAAAGAACTGCTTAAAATTGACTACAGTAAAGATGTAACTAATTTAGATGAATCAGGGTATGGGCAATCTGAATTAGATAGAAGTCTGAATTACATAACATTCTAAAAGCAATTCAAATTACCAGATGTAAGAATACAAGATTGATCAAACCATTAAGGAGAATAAAATATAATAAAAAAAAACATTAGAAATGACACAGAGCTTCACTAAACAAGATTTTGTTTTTGTCTATGTTTTTTTTTATTCTCTTTAAAATAAAAAAAATAAAAGCAACTCAATTTTATTGCTTTTGAATCAAAGTAACCAGATTGAACAAGCAATGGTAGGTAAACCTACTGTTTTAGACACCAAATTGTAGACCCAATTTGGTGACAAATAAGGAAATATAAATATTATAGTAATTACTTACATCTAAATGATTCTTCTGAATTTTGAGCAGAAATTTAACTCCTTAAGTGAATTTAGTATGTCTCCAATGTTATGTAACATAGCAAAGATTTACTGAATATCTCTTACACACAGCATTAGAGGGAAAGTGAAATGTAGTTTTTGCCCTCAAAAAGTTTAATTTATAAATCTTGTTAGGGTGATGAAATGTACACCGCTAAACTGACCTCTTACAGGAAAGTTTTCTGATGAAAGGGGGTAGGCAAATGAAACCTCAACTCTAGTTGGATGCGTTCAAAGTGCTACCCTAATGAGGTTATACTGCACTTGAATTTATTTATGATTAAATCACTGTCACTCCCTGGACTTTCCAGCCTCTTACAGTGGTGTTTCTTGCTTGCAATGTTCTCCTTCAGCATATGCAGACAGACATTTAACCTTGAGTGACAGAGACTGGAGCTGACAGGGCCCCTGCAGCAGCCTCTCTCTTTGGTAAATGATACAGCATCAAGTTCACCTCACATCGGTCCTGCTGACAGGTCCTCACCATCAGATAATCATGTCTATGAATCCGCCAGTTCCTCAGGCCTGAGCAACAGATACCTGTACCATACAAAAACTCAACTACTTTTCAAAGAGAAGGTCATAGACGACATTCTTGTTTCAACTGAGAACTATCAGTCATGTTCCTTCACTAAGTAGCAGCTAATAAACATCTGTGTAAGGGCTGGGGATTTAGCTCAGCGGCACAGCGCCTGCATGGCAAGTGCAAGGTTGTGAGTTCAATTCCTGGTACCAGAAAAAAACCATCTGTGTAATGGGTTTTGCTCGGCATTATGAGAAAATGGAACCCCATGTAATATACAAATGTGCTGAAAGGGATTTTAGAAACTCAACATTTTGAGAAATTTGTACATCAGCTATCCATTTAACTCCAGTCACAGGATCTTAATCATATAGAGGGACTGATACAATGAAGAAGAAACTGTTAAGGAAAGTGTTACAGTTTTGATTAAAAAAAAAAAGGCTCCCAAAGGGCGTAAGTATTCAGAAGTAGAAGGTGATTAGATCATTGGAGCTCTAACCTCATCAGTGGATCAATCCACTGATGAATCAATAACTGAATGGGCTGTTATGAGGTAGGGGTTGGATAGAAGAAATCAGTCACTGGGCATATGATTTAGAAGGGTATATTCCTGGCCTCTTCCTCTCTCTATGGCTCTTTGCCTCTCTCTCTGCTTCCCAGCTGCCATGAGATGAAAAGTTTTCTTCCATCACACCTTTCTGCCACGGAGCCAGCTGGCCATGGACTGAAACCTCTCAAACTGTAAACTAAAATAAATGTGTTTTCCTTTAGGTGGCATATGTCAGGTCTTCTATCCTAGCAACAAGAAAGTGACCACCACAGAGAACAGCCTTTAAGAATGCACACCATCACCAAGAAAGGAAACTGGACAAATTGAGTGGTGGCTGAATCCTGAGGGCTTATGGGTCATTTCACTCCACGTGTTCCCCTTTACAGACACGGAAAGTGCCTTGTTACCACCAGTGATGGGTTACAGCTGACTCAGGTCATGCAGCGCTAACTAGGTGCATTCTTCCCACACCCTACTTCAGGGATTTCACCTTGGAAGCTTGGAGTCAGAATATGGTGGGAGTTTTTATACCATGGAAACAGTTATGTGCTATACACAAATCAGTTCCTCCTACACTCACAATGGGCCAGTAGGTAAATGTTTACCAGCCCACCAGTGGTATCACCTCACCTTGTCTTTGTTTTCACAAGTTTAGTGGCAAATGTTCCCTGAGAAAACCCCGTGGACACATGTGCGGTTCACTGACCTGGGCTCGGTTGGTGTACAGAACTGTCATATCCTTCATCTTGTCTAAGCCCTCGCTGTAGTTCAGGATGGCTGTTTCATAGTCACCTCTGGCAAAGGCTTTGTTCCCCTCTTCTTTTAGGGCTATGAGAATAAATGTCACACAGGTAAGTTCTCACCACAGAGCAAAAAAGTCCTCCAGACTGCAGCCCCTTGATTTTCTAACTGTACTCTGAGGGTCCTCTGAAGGTCAGCTGTCACTGACCCAAAAAGATGTGTCACTCATTTCTCTGCAGATATTTCAGGCCTTGTTTGTTTTTTTGTTCCAAATACATTCTAAGCACTCTCAGCAGCCTTTCAGAGAAAGTGACTACATCAGGGTTCAGAGTCATTCCAAGCTTGCCACAAGACTGAGGCTATACATCCACGAAAGAGGCAAAAATTCTTTAAACTCAAAGATGTACAAGTCTGTGCAGTTATTAGCAAGAACAGAGAAAATAATCTTACATTAATTAAGAGGCTTCTTCAACTTTATCAGTGACACTGACAATGCTAATTTTAATATTCAAAGCTTTGATAATAAACATTCTATCAGATATTAACAAGATCTACAGAGGACCCTACTGGGAGACCTAAATGATGAGCGAGAGGATAACAAGGCTCAGCACTTTCTCAGCCTTATTTAGAAGGGATTGAAAAGCAAGAGTAGAACCCCATTATGCAATAATTATTTTTGAATATGTATTTATGCTTGAGTTATTAATATAAAATTATATGTGATTATCATCCCATAGTGTTAATATACTCCTTTCTTGAGAATGATTACTTTAGGAAGAATTTCACTGACACACAATGGATAATAAATGATGTTTATCTAGATAAAACAAAACAGGAAGGTCATATAATTTTTTAGTAAGTACAGGTGTAATCATTTATACCTACAACACATGTACTACTAGGTAATGTAAGACAACACTGAAAGGATTCTTTTGACATAGGTATCTCACCCCCAACATACACAGAATGCGTCTTTCTTTTTTGTTTCTCTTCTCCTTTCCATTATCTTTGTTTTTCTTCTTTCATTTTTCTGACTTCCTCATTGATGCCGCAGGCTAGCCAGTGGACCCTTACCCCATCTCACTACACCTCCCAAGCAGTGTGTAGGAACCTGATCCATTAAGCCCACCCATACGCTTTAGAAGCAGGCTGAGTGCTCATTGCAAGAAGAGCAGAGAACAGTGCACTGATGACTTCTGCCTGGTCAGGTCCCACTGCCACAGGCCTATCATAAGACAACTACCCGGTGTCCACAAACATTAACAGACAGGCTCTCACGTGCTCTTCCATTCCGAAGCATCTCAGCTATTAAAAAGTAAGGACTGACAATTACCGTCTGCTAAAACTTTGTTTTCCTGTCTTCTCTTGGCTCGCTCCTTTGCATCCTTCTCCAGAGATGCCAAGAAGGCCTCTGACGGCGGAGTAATGTCAAATATTAGGAAGAAAAACCCAAATGATATAATCAGTTCTTTAGCTCAAATGCAGGAGAAAAGTACATCAGAGCTTTCCAGCCACACTTCTCATGCATATACATGGCAGCGCACACACATGCACACACACACACATCCGAGGCAACAACAATGCCATTTTTTTAATTTGACATTCAATAGAATCCGTGTGATGTATTATTATACATGATGGCTACAATTATACTTCAGTTTTGAATTATGTCTTTTAAAAAGGTTTCCTTTGAAGAGAGATTTTTTTGTTCCATTTAGCATAATGAGTCTCGAAGCTGAGCAATAGAGGAAATATCTAGATCCCCTGAGTAGCTAAGAGTAAATCGGATGATACAGAATAACGGAATTCAGTGTACAGAAGATTGGTCAGCAGGGAGTACAGGGGTACCTCAGTTCACGAAATTAAATTTGTTCCAGGATTCTTGAAAAGATGGCCATGTTCACGTGTTTGTGGAAAGATGGCCATGGTCGTGTTTGTCACCTGATGTAGAGTTTGCCAACAAAAGTAAAATTTTGCCACATGTTCCTATTTGCAAACCAAAGTGTTCCCAAACAAAAACATTTGTGAGCCAAGGTAGAAAAAGGCCTCTGAAAACAGTCCCCTCTGACCACTGGAACTAGAAATGGGTGATCACTGGGTTTTTGTTCATGAGTTGTGTGTTAGCCCTGAGGCTATAATTTAAGGGTCCGGAAGTCACAATGAATTCTGGTCCTAAGTAAATAATACACATTGGGAAGAGAGATGTTTCCTTACCTGGGTTTATTTCATCTGCACTCTGCCAGACATAGGTAATCATAAAAGGTAAAGAAACAAATGTCAAAAACCACTCTCTGATGAACACACATGTAAACTAAGAAGACAAATCAATTAGAAATGAGAAGTTGGGTCATTTCCTCTAAACAACAACACTGAACGGTCCAAAATTTAGAGGCCCAGCATTATATTAGGAGATCTCACTGTGGTCACAATGTGGCTGAGCCTGCAGCCTTGATTCTGAGGGACCCCAGCTGTAGCTCTATATGTTGGAAACAAGAATTCAGAGAATATATTACCTTAACGACATAGTTTAAATATGGCACACAAGCTTAGGAGGAAGAGAGACTGAACATTCATTTAAACAAACCCACAGGGCTGTTTACTGTTGATCTAGAAAGACTGGGGGGAAAATCAGAGTTTATACTTCCTTATGGAAAATAAACCTAGTGAATCTGAGAAACGAATAACTATTTCAGATTTACTAGACATTTTGAGATTAAATTATTGTCTCAGAGTAAGTCTCTGTGATATCTCTGCTTACACAACTCCATAACAGAAAGGGAAACCTTTACAGCAGCTTGCGGAGGGCTTATCACGGTCTTGTTCAAGGTTGTCCTGCACTCGTCCTCCTCCTGAGCTTCCTCCATCAGCATCAGTCTCTTTTCTGTCTGGTGCACCGCTTTCTGTTGTATAACTGGATCATCAGAATTCATCTCCTGAATTAAAGTGGCTAGAGGAGAAACCAGATAGGAATCAATCAAACAAGGTCTTCAAAAAGAAAGATTCCATTCATTAGAAAGGATGCTGTGGAAAATTAATGGGGAAGATCTCAGAGTTACAAAACAGGCCAGGTGAAAGCGAAGCGAAGCCAAGCAATTAGAACCAACGTGAGACAATTAAGCACAGGATTTGTTTTGTCTGGAAAAAGCTACAAAAGAATTTAACTCTGGGCTTCAAGGAAAGAGTTTTAAGCCATTGTTCAATTCAATTGTAATTTATATAGAGCTTATTATGAGTTACATATTTATGCTGAATGCTATTGATAAAAATCAGTTCAAAAGATCATTTTTTACAAGCTTACGATCTTGTGCTGGAGACAAACATGTACATAAGTACAGGCAGCTCTGAAATCACAAAGCAATGGCCTTAATCACCCTCAACCCCTGCTTCACTGTTCTGCCTACCCAGGTTAGGGAACTTGCTCTGTCACTTCGGGGCCATCCTGCCCAACACTCAGTTCCCCTGCTCACCGCCTCTGCACTCCAACTCCAAATGAATCTGTTCACTTTATGGCAACCCCAGATGAATCTTACCATACATCCTCTCAGCCTTTACTAGGAATGCTGAGTACTAACAGAGAAAGACAGACGGACAGATGCCTTGGGGAACTGGTGTCAACTCAACCGGAAATTGGTGATGCCCAGCCATCTGTGTCACCCTAGGCATGACATTTTAGGGGTGGCACCCTATTACTCTCCCAAAGCTTTTTTTCCAGCCATCTAATTTGCATTTCCCTAATGACCAGAGATGTTGAGCATTTATTCAGTCAGATAGGAAAGGAATGACAGCTTCCCACCATCGAACCTACAAGCATATCCACCTGTGCTTCCTGCCGCAAAGAAAAAAGTGTTTCCTCCTCTTATACGAGGTTAATTGTTCATACTTTGCTCAGGATCCCACTATTGTGTTTCACACAATTAAGAACTTTACAGTGTCAATTAAATAGCTCATCTTGACAATATTTTCAACCTCTTCCATTTGCCCAGCTCCCACCTAAATGTATTTATATGCTTTAAATGTCTCTCAATCCTGTCTCATCTCCTTCATAACTAAATTTCTTATTTTCCCCTTTCATTCCCTTCTCTCCTCCCTCCTTTTGTCTTTAGATACCCTTTCCAGTTCAGGAAAGATCAAGCTTCCTGTTTCCTATGGCCTATTTTTTATTTTTAAAAATTATTTATACATCAGCCTCATATAAAAGAAGTTATGCAATACTTAAACCTGTGTGTATGATTTATTTCTCTTAACATGATGGTTTCAAGGTGCATCTGCTTTCCTACAAATGACTCAAATTTAACCTTCATTATGTCAGAGCAGGGCCGGGTATAGGGCTCAGCAGCATAAGTGCCTGCCTGCTAAGTGCAAGGTCCTGAGTACGACTTCCGGTACCAAAAAAGACAAAACAAAACAGTATTAGCATTATGTCAGAGTAGTACTCCATTATATATAAATAACAGATTCATCTGGTAATGGATATACAGGCCACTTGTAAGCTTTAGATATTATGAGTTGTGCTGCTATAAATGTGGGTGTATATGTATCACTGCGTCAGGAGGCCTTTACTCCTTCTGGAAAGATGCCAAGAAAGGGGAATAGCTAGGTTGAATGGAGTTTCTAGGTTTAGTTTTCTGAGGACTCTCCATATTGATTTCCACAGTGATTGTACTAGTTTACATTCTTACCAACCATGAAGGGTATATTTTCCCCCACAGCCTCACTGGAATTTGTTCTGTTTTTTTTTTTTGTTTTGTTTTTTTTTGTTTTTGATGACAGCTATTCTTTCTGGAGTAAGATGGAATCTCAGTGTTGTTTTAATTTGTACTTCCCTAGTGACCAGAGATGTCAAGCATTTATTCAAGTACTTTCTGGTCATCTGTACTTCTTCTGAGAAGTGTCTATTCATTGCAGTTGCCCAATTTTTGCCCAGGTCTTTTACTTGGGGGAGAATTTATTTTTTGAGTTCTTTGTAGATTCTAGATATTAGACCTCTGTCAGAGTAGCTGGAAAAAATTTTTTCCCATTCTGTAAGCTGTCTCCTCATCCTATTTACTGTTTTCTTTGTGTGCAGAAGTTTTACAATTTGATACAATTCTCATTTGTTGATTCTTGATGCTATTTCTTGTGCAATTGGAGATCTGTTTAGAAAGTCCTTTCCGGTACCTACTGTCAGGGACCATAGATAAATGGAGACTAGGGGGTGTCCGCGGCTGTCCTTGTCCTGTCCCTACAGCCAGATTGGAACGGGAAACTCCCTGCTTTCTTCTGGTAACAACTGAAGCCCTATGGCCAGTGAAAGGGGAATAGCTAGGTTGAATGGAGTTTCTAGGTTCAGTTTTTTGAGGACTCTCCATACTGATTTCCATAGTGGTTATACTAGTTTACACTCTTACCAACCATGAAGGGTGTATTTTCCGCCACAGCCTCACTAGAATTTGTTGGTTTCTTGTTTTTTTTTTTTTTTTTTTTTTGATGACAGCTATTCTTTCTGGAGTAAGATGGAATCTCAGTGTTGTTTCAATTTTAATTTGTATTTCCCTAGTGGCCAGAGATGTCAAGCATTTCTTCATGTACTTTCTGGCCCTCTGTACTTCTTCTGAGAAGTGTCTATTCACTGCTAGTGATACTGTGGCAGTAAAACTTGCTGAGAGTAAGAATCTTTATGGCCATGTAGTAGCAATAGCAAATAGTCTCTCCTGAGGAAACTACAGTCTCCTTATGGCTCCTTGTCTCATCCTTGCAAGAGTGCTTTGCTCTTTTCGTCAGCCCACTGTTCTCGCCATTACCATTCCCGGAGCACTCACTACCCTTCACTCATTGTCCTTGACACAGACATAATAAATACTGAGGTTCTGGCTGCCCCATGGCCTTTGTTCCCTGTGAACAATCGGTCATCCCAGATCCCCGTTGCATTGCCATTCTGTCTCTTGTTCTTTCTTTTTGCCATGTGCCATAACACCTTGAGGACACTGGGGACTCACTGCAGGGGTTCCTCATACCTATGATTTCAAGCATTTTACCTATTTTATCTCCTAGTCAATTAGGTGTTTCTGTTTTAGTACCTATTTCATTGATTTATCTTTATTTCATTTTGGTGCATGGTGACAGATATGGGTCTAGATTCAACTTTCTGCCTGTGTATAACCAGTTTCCGCAGCAACACTTCTTTAAAAGGCTATCTTCCCTATGTATGTTTTTGGTCCCTTTGTCACAGATCGAATGGATGAATGTGCCTGGGGTTGTTTATCTCCTGTTCTGTTTCATTGATCTAGTTGTCTGGTTTTGTTCTAGTGCCATGCTTTTTTTTTTTTTTTTAAATCACTGTACCTTTGTAGCATAAGTTCAAATCTGGGATTATGAGCTTTCTTGCTTTGTTTTTGTTGCCCAAGATTGCTTTTGCTATTCTGGTCTCTTCTGGTTCCATGTAAATCTTACGATAAGTTTTTCTAGTTCAGTGAGGAACACTGTTGGTATTTTGATCAAAATCAAATAAAAATTTGGACAATATTCATTTTGACAACATTGTGACCATTTTAACAATATTCATTCTGCCTATCCGGGAACATGGCAGATCTTTCCATTTTCTGATGTACTCACTGATCTCTTTTTTCAGAGTACAATAGCTTTCATTGCACATGTTTTTCACTGCCTTGATTAGGTTAATTCTTAAGTATTTAATTTTCCTTGATGCTATTGTGAATGCCAGCGTTTTCATTATTTCTCTTTGTGAATTCATTATTAGTGTATAACAACACTCCTGATTTTTGTGTGTTGATTTTATATCCTGCTACATTGCTGAATTTGGTTATTAGTTGTAGAAGTCTTTTGGTAGAATTGTTTGGGTCTTTTATGTAGAGGCTCATGTCATCTGTGAATAAGGATAATTTGATTTATTCTTTTCCTATGTGTATCTTTTTTATTTCTTTCTCTTACCTGAGTGCTCTAAAGTTTTGAGTGCTGTATTGAATATGAGTGTTGATACTGAACATTCTTATCTTACTCATAATTTTAGAGGGAAAACTTTCAGTTTTTCCCCATTTAATATGATGTTGACAGCAGGTTTACTATAAATGGCTTTTATCGGGTTGAGATAAAGTGCTTCTATACTAGAGTTTTTATCACGGATGGAAGCTGGATTTTGTCAAAGGTTTATTCTGTGTGTACTGAGATGACCAAGTGACATATTTATTCATTTGCATGTTGAACCAGCCCTGCATTTCTGAGATGAAGCCAACCTGGTGATGATGTATGATCTTTTTGATGACTTGCTGCATTGTGTTTGTCAGTATCCTGTTGAGGAGTTTTGCATGTATGTTCATAAAAGGGACTGTCTATAGTTTTATTATTTGGATCCTTGTCTGGTTTTGGAATCAGGGTACTGTTAGCTTCCATGAATGAGTCTGGAAGTACTTGAACCTTTTCCAATTCACTAAAGTGTTTGAGAGTATTGGTGTTATATCCTTTCCAAAGTTCTTGTAGAATTTAGTGGTGACTCCATCAGGTCCCTGGCTTTTCTTAGCTTATAAGTATTTTATTACTGCCTCAATTTCATTGCCTGTCACTGAATTTATTCAGCATTTTGATGTCTTCTTAGCTTAATTTTAGTAATTCATGTGTCCAGGAATCTGTCCATTTCTTCAAGACACTCCAATTTGCTGAAGTATAATTTTTCACAATATTTATTAATGACCCTCTTTTTTTTTGGAATCTATTATGATTTTGCTTTTTGCATTTCTAATTGTATTGATATGGGCCTTTACTTCCCTTCTTTTCATAAGTTTGGCTACAGGTCCTTTCTTTCTTTCTTTTTTTTTTTTTTTTGGTCTTTTTGAGACAGGGTCTCACTATGCATTTCACGCTGGCCTTAAGCTCACTTTGTAGCCCAGGCTGGCCTCAAACTCCTCCTGCCTCCCGAGAGCTAGGATTATAGGTCTGTGCCACCATGCACATGTT